ACGGGGAAGGGAGGCGGGGCCTCCACATCATCATGATCCACTCGAGCCGGGGGCCTAGTCCCTAGGTGCAAACCCCAACCAAACAACAGGGGGCCCCCCAAAACCCCGGAAAGTCAACCCCGAAACGGAGGAAACGGGGGAAAAAGGGGGACCCAGGGAGCCGCCCCGAAAAGGGAAAACCAAACAAGAGAGGGGAACCAAGGCGCACCCCGGATCAGCCCAAGCCGCGCCAATTTTCCTCGCCTGGTGCAAGTCTGGGCCTGCGCTGTTCCCTGGGGGGGGATATCAGCGCCTTCGGCAGCTGTCCCCCGGGGTGCGCTGCGCATCCGTTCCGGATGGCCGCGGTCCTGGATGGTGTGCCGGAAGATGGCGTTGTCCCGCATCATCACGCGGCCCCCTTCGCGATGTCATCGATGCGCTTGAGCGCAGCAGCCTCCGGATTCCGCAGAATCAGCTCCCAGATGGCATTGGAGACGTGGCCTGTCTGGGTGGTCTGGCTGAATCTGAACCTGGGCACCTTCTGGTCCACGATGGAGACGTCCCGCAACGGGGCCGAGGGCTCCACCCGGCGGTAGTACTCCAGCCGCTCCTTCACCCAGCGGTTGTAGAGGCCCTCCGGCGGCTCGTCCAACACCAGCTGCAAGATGGCCTTGCCGGCCCGGATCTGGAGGAGGCGGGTGCCCCCTCCCCCGGCACGCCAGTACCCCTTACAATACTTGCACATGTAGCCCCCCCGGGTCTCCCCTTTTGTCTTCGGGATGAGTTCCCACGGGGTGACGGAGCTCAGGACCAGGCCACACTCCATGTGCGCCCAGAAGACATGCTTCATCTCCACCGGATAGTTCTTCTTCCGGTAGTCCTTACCCACCACGCCGTGGACGTTGTCCGCCGTGATGGGGGGGTAAACGATCCCCTCTTCGCCCTCGCCTCCCCTGGGGCGGATGTCAGGGCCATCGGCACCTGTCCGGCACCCAGGGGCGGAGGGGTCCAGGCCCATCAGCTTGATCATGTCGTTGGTGTAGCCGAGCTTGCGGTAGATGGAGGGGGCCACTGAGTCGGGGACTGCGCCGACCCACCACTGCTTCGTGTTGCAGCGCCAGTTGACCTTCACCTCCGCCAGGGCCCCCGGGCCTCCAATGCGGTCCATGAGGGCCTTGTACACCTCTGGGAACTGCTGGAGGCTCTCCACCGGGACCGAGATGCGCTCGTCGCATACCGCCCGCAGGATCATCTGCTCCTTGGAGTCCGCCACGTCCTGGACCGGGAGCTGCATCACCTCCGCCGGGGTGTCCGTGAGGAAGGCCCGGGCCGCGAGGACCTTGCCCATGGCCCGGTAGACCAATCGCCACTCCGGTCCTGTCTGCGGAAACGGAAGGCCCTCCTCCTTCAGGAAGCACCGCGCGTCCTCCTTCAGGGTCTCCCAGCCCTCCAGGCGGGTCTGATTCTGGGCCTTGTTTTTCGGGCCCCGCTGCCTAGGGCCCTGCAGCAGTGGCAGAGACTCCCAGACTCCCCAGAGCTGGTGAGGTTTTTCGCCCAATCCGGGACGTGTACCGGGCCCGGTCGTCGGACCCAGCGGCCCGCAAAGATACGGACCTCTCCGACCCGTTTGCTCATCATCCAGCGCAGGACCGAGAGCTGCACCTCCGGGTCCTTGGTGTCCAGGCCCACCGGGGTGGCGGACGGCTTGTCAGGGCCCTCGGCACCTGAGCTCGTCACGCCAGAGCCCGAGGCTGGGGGGATGGTGGGCGGCCTGTCAGGGCCCTCGGCACCTGGGCGCGCCGCACCAGAGCCCCCCGCCTTTGGCATGGGGATCCCTGTCAGGTCCGGCAGATCTGACAGGAGGGCCGCCGGGAAGGGATTCCTACCCAGCGAGATGACCGCCTTGGCCTCAAGGTAGGAGTCCGTGAGGGATGTGAGGTCGTCCATACTGAAGTCCCTCCATGCCGTTGTCGGCTCGAAGACCCCAGTCTCAATGGCGACCCGGACCTCACTAGGCCACGCACTGAAGGGAGGCGCGATGGGCTCGAGCATTCTGGTTTCGAGGGAGCCCTTCGCCTGTCTGGCTTGGTGTTTCGCTTTCGCCTCCTCCGCAGTGGTCTGGGCCTGGAGGAGCTCCGGTGTGGGTCTCCCCCAGTCCGCACCCAGCTTGTCCAGCAGCTTCTCACGGAAGAGGTCCAAGTCCAGGTTCTTCAGGAGCAGGCCTCCATCACCTCCTCCGTCAATGGCCCCCCCTTGAAGTTCGTGGAGGACCGCCGCGGAGCGCTCCACCGCTTCCACCTGGTCCGCCTTCTTGGCCTCCTCCTGGGCGATGGTGGTGGCGTTGAGCCGGGTCTGAATCTTGAAGGCCTTCAACGCAGACGGGTGGAAGGCTCTGCATTCCTGGCCCTCTTCCTTGTCGCCTGGCAATGGGGGCCTCTCCCCCGGTGGGGCCGTCAGAAACTCCTCGTCCAGCTCCATGGGGCAGTTCCTGATCACCGCCCGGACCGAGGAGGGGACGAAGTCCGAGAAGCTGGCCTGGTCCGGGTTCTCGCAGGCCATCGGGTCGGTGGCCAGCTCGCTGACGTCCACCGAGGCACTGAGCTTGAGGTCGCGGGCCCGGTCCGTGTCAGGGCCTTCGGCACCCGCGGACCGGGCCGCCGTCCAGACCGCATTGCCCTGGTCATCCACCGTCAACTGCCAATGCGTGCCCGCCATCTCCAGGGTGGCCGAGTTGGTCGCCGTGTCAATGGGCTCCGTCTTCTTGCCGCACCCCATGCACCCAGGGCATGGTGCAGCAGGGGCAGATCCAGGATGTGGGCACCTTGCCCAGGGGGCGGTTCTCCAGGCCCCCGTACCCCAAGCCAGCGCGCTTGCCAACCTGCTGTCCCGGGGTGCTGAGCCGGGCCTCATGCTCGTACTTCATCTTGGCGATGTAGAAAGCCTCCACAACGCGCTCCAGGCCCCCCAACTCAAAGCCTCGAAGGAGCCGCTGGACGTCCTTGGCCTGCAGTCGGCGGAGCCTAGTGGCCGTGGTCGCATCGAAGCAAGGGAAGTCGCCCGCCATCTGGTCGTCGCTGAACTGGTAGAGGCCCTCCGAGACCTTGAGGGCCTTGGTGAACACGCTCCCCCCCGGCGGGGGGGCTGCGGGGTTCTCATCCTCCTCCGAGGACGCCTGCTCCTTGACCTTCGCCATCAGCTCCCGGCGCCTCTGCCACTTGGCGTCTGCCCGGGCATCCAGGCGGGCCTCCTCCAAGCGGGCTGCAGCCGAGGGGAACCTGGGCATCGGCAGCTCCTTCTCGTCCTTCGCCAGGAGCTCCTCCATGGGCACGTCCTCCTCCGGCGGGTTCAGGAGCTCCAGGAACGCCCCTGGGGGGCGTGTCAGGGCCTTCGGCACCTGCGCCACCCCAGGGGCTGCATCTTCCATCGGCTCATCCTCTGCCTTGCGCTTGGCCGGGATAAGGGGGGCCTGCTCCAGCTCATCTGCGCTGGAGAAGAAACGCTCGTCAGGTGCCTGAGGGACCTCAGCAGTCAAAACGGTCCATCCTTCTTCCTCCCTCTTCACGAGGCTCGCCAGGTACTTTGCCATGGAGGCCTTTGCCTTAGCCTTGGCCTCTGCTACCGCGGCACCAGCGTAGGCGGGGGCGTACATGGCTTTGAGAGTAGGGGAAAGAAAGATTTCAAATCACAAGACAAAAGATCAAAAGGTCCACTTGAGCCAAAATGGTGGCCCAAGTGGATACTTATTAAGAGTCAAGACAAGCGACCACCTACGGTTAACGCTTTAGCCCAAACAATGAAAAGCTAAAAGGCTAAAGGGATAGCTGGGAGCCACCAAGGTCGATGTAGGGTGAAAGTAGATGGCACAGGCCCAGGTAGGTATGAAGAAGTGAAGGAGACCGCTAAATGAGAATAGGAGGATTGTGCCGTCTAATTTCTCCCAACACCCTCTTTGGGGTGGTTGTCAAGGATGAACAAACTCATTTTTAGGGGGTCCGTGTTTTACAAACGCTGCTGCATCTACTTGGACGTGTTTTTCTTATTTGAAAAAACGACCTTACTAAGGAAGCCCAAACCAGGGTTTTGAGGGCCAACGGGCGGATTTCTCCCAAAGGGCACAAGGGCCGCCTTGGAAAGGCCCGACCTGTGCCCAACAACATGGGTGACGCATGTGTGTGTGTGTGTGTGTGCCTGTTATGTTTGTAAAGCCTGTTGACTAAGTGCATGTCCGCATAAATGTATACATGCGCAAATGAATTCCGTTATGTACATGCATGTATACTTGTTATACTCATGTGTCTGCATGCGCCTAATACATGCGTATCGTTTCAATTATCCTTATCTGCATAAATGCATACAACAATATGTTTATAGAGTACATACATACACGTAACTCCACTCCAAACAAAATCAACAGAAAACAAGGAACGAAGGAACGAACACAACGATCCTGTTTAGTCCTGGAAAGGCTCAAGATGGAAAAGAACAAACATGTCTTTTCTAAAACAAACAAAGCAATACAAAAAGGAAAATCAATTGCTGAGTTGCTGACATGTTTGTGTCAAACATGTTTCCGCAAAACATGTTTGCCAATTGCCACATGTGTGTTTTCTTAACAAGTGCACAGCATTGTGGCTTCCGGCAAGGGCACTCCTATGAGGCGTTTCCAGGCACTTCGTTGGACTGGTTGGGGCAGAAACCCCAAGGTACATCTAAGCACTTCGGGCCAGGATTCAAGACTCAAGGAAACAGGCGTGGGATCTCCAGTCAGGCTCCACGCTCATTAGTTTCCCTACACTGTACGTAGACTTAAGATGTTGAAGTAGCCAACTTCTTTGACAAATTTATTCGTGCCCCTGTCCTGCCCTATTTCAAAAACACACCCCCCAACTTTTTCTGCGGAACCTTCAAAGGTCAAAACCCGCTTTGAGATGCGCCTCGCTTTCTTGACCAACGCTTAACGTGACCCGGTCTTTGCCTCCCTTGCCGTTTCGAGGCAGGTGTTTATTTAGCAACCAAGGCGCCCAAGCTGAGCCAGGAGCCCTCTGACAACTCTTGGCCCTCGAGGAAGAGCTTCCTGGTTCATCTTTCTAGGTAACTTCCAACCCCTGGCTTTTTTGGACACTCAATGGGGTAACTTCCAGAGAAAGATCTTCAAACTAAAATGGTTCTAGGGGTCACTTCCATTTCCATTCTTTCCAGGGATCCGGATCCGGATCTTTCTAGAATACCACCGAAAACCCTGGGGAAATGGCGATCGGTTTTCGGAAAGAACGATGGCTGACAAGAATGGCCACCCATTGAATTTTCACAGGTTTGAGGAGTCGTTCCTTGGAGTCCAAGACGGGTGGTTCGTTGCCCCAAAAGAACGAACACGTCACTTGGATCCAGCTTACCTTGGGGTGATCACAAACTGGAACCCTGCTATCCGGGGGTGGGGTCGCTGGAGGCAAAAAGAATGGGAACACGTTTTGCCCTTTCAGCATGGTTGAAAAGAACTCAGTTGCCCAAAGGACCTGGAACGAAAAGGTGAACAACTTTTGGGGTCATGGCGAAATATGGACCAAGATGGGAAAACCAAAGGTTAAAAGGTCGATTCGCTTTGAACAACTGAGAGAAGCACACAACACCACCCTGATGAAACGAGCCCTTTCTTGGGCCTTTTCGGCATCTCTGTGTGGGGGGGGGGTGCAATCGAAACCAGCCAAAAAAACAATAAAGTTGCGGCGCGCGTTTGCAACCAGTGTGGCTTACCAAGGTAAAAAACGTGAATGTTGTTGCTCGGTTTCAAGAGAAGTCGACCTAGAAAGACAAAGGATAGAATCCACGGACAGTTTGAAATACGTCAAAACGAGTTGGGCCCCTCTGGGGATGGACAAAAGAGGAGAGATCATTGGGAGGGGGGTCCCTTCACACACACACACACAGACACACACCCATCCCTGAAAAAAACTCTGAGCCAGAGCTCTTTATGCGGAAACAGGGAATATCAACCACAACACTCAGCTGGCTTCAGGGGCGCATCCCAGCTGAAAAGCTGTACAACCCACGCGAGGCAGTTTGTTGGCTGAAATACGCTACAAGTCAAACAGCTACTAGACCAAAAGGATCTTGAGTTGTGTGGGGCTCAATAGGTCCAACCAACTTCGATAACAATAACAGCTCCCTTGAAAGCAACAACTGTATGGACATGTTTGCACATCCAATAAATGGAATCGGAAGGGCAGCTACACCTATTTCAGATTTAGCGCTGAACAGCGTCTTCAGCGCTGGCCATGATGTTATTCTCCCGCGCTGTGCGAGTTGTACGACAATCGGAGAGTTCAACAATGGGGGGTATGAGCAAGCTGACATTGTATGGAAACATGTCCAATTCGGGATGCCCTGTTTGCGAGGGATCTTCAAGATTGTTCTAACATCACACACACACACACACACACACCTGACGATGGTTGATTTGGTTTCACTTTCAACACCATGCCAGGGGGTCATTGTTCCAACTTCAGGGCCTCCTCTTTCTTTCAGCTTCCCTTCCACCCCCCCCCAAACTCGCATTGATTCGCTGATGATGTCGATCTCAAAGGGATTCAAAGAAACCTTCCAAAAAAAGGCAAAAGGACGTTGGATTCCGTCCGGGCGGCTGCCTCACTGCAGGCACTCCGAGGCTGCGAAAAACCTCCGCCTTCAGCAACTTCGCCAGGCTTGACGCCAGCGCAGCCTCTCGAAACAGCGCCAACGCCCGCAACAACGTGGGAGTCGCCGCACGAAGAGAAGAAAAAGTTGCCCTAGGCGCAAAAGGTCAGCTCGTGCGGTCGAAATGGCAAGCCAGGAATGCCGCCTAGCCGCCTGTACTGCCCCCTGAAGGGGACCTTTTTCGGGCTTGACCATAAGGGGAACCCACCCAACAGTGGTAACAACATGTCACTGAACAACTAGGCAAGCCGCAAGCCAAACAAGCAATCCTGCCCCGATCCCCCCCCAAAAGAAAAAAACAACTCAAAAAAAAGCAAGAAAACGCCTCCTCCAAAGCCGCGGTCAGCAGCTGCTCCCCAGATGCAGCGGAGCTCACTCGCAACTCCGGCATGGCACCAGAAACCCGCAGCTTGTGCCCACGTTCTACGGCCGGGCCTTTCAGGTCATTTGCAAAGAAACTGCGCTGGGGGCTTCCAAGAGGCTCACAAGGCTGGCGATGGAAAAAACAGGCGCCAAACCAAAGGCTGCGATCCGAAACGGCTGAAAACGACTTGAAGCTGGGGTTCAACCGCGGGACCAACATATTCAAACCCTTCACCAAAGAAATCTTGACATGTCAGGCTAACTTTGCGCGATTGGGGTTTGAATTGTTTTTTTTTGCCCACTGGTCCCTGCAGAACATTCCAACATTGAGATTGGGGGAAGGGGGAAGTAGTTTCAATGGTGAAGGGCTTGAACATTTTGGCCATCTGCGGTAGGGTCCTCTACACGTGGCTCTCAAGGTTCCGTATTTCCGCGGGCCCAGACCAAAGCGCCCAGTTCAGCGATACCAGGCCTGGTCGTTTCGGATGTCCCAGACCTGCGGGCTCAAAGCCCGGGCTCAAAAGCTTGGAAGTGGGCCGTGCTGCAAGGTGAAGCTGGTAACCAAAGCAATACCCACACAAACCATTGTTTATGGAGTTGGGGGCCCTAAACGGGTTCATTGGGTTCCAGCTGGCACCAAAGGACAATGTGCTTTTTTCGCATCCGACTCCGGAACCCATCAAACCTGTACGAATTGGCCACCTAGATGTGCCTTTTGTTTTGGCAGCCGCTTTCCCTGCCCACAAAATCTCGCCATATTCCCCCTTCAAACGCCCCACCGAGAGGAAACTCATCTTCGAGTGGGCCAGTAAAGCTGATTCATTTTTCAGACCAGAGGGGAAGTGTGGACGAAATCTGAGACATTCTGAGACCCAAGTGGTGGTTTTGGGTTTCCCTCAAAAACGACAACAGGGCACCCTCTGGAAAGGACACACCCCACAGAGCTCCGTTCCAAGCGCGCGGTGCTCCGATGGCCTTCACCGTCTGGCCCGTGCCCGCAGTGGCCAGGAAGGCGTCGTCGTGGGTCATGCTCAGCGCCAGCACCTGCGCCGAGTCTCTGGTGCGTTTCCCCTTCTCCCCAAAACTTGGCGGCCCGTTTTCTGATCCCCCGCTAAAAGTGAATAACCTTTAGTGGGTTAAATAGAAACCACTAAACGCTAAAAGGCTAAAATGCTAAGGGGATGGCTGGGAGCCACCAAGAGAAAAGCTTGGTCTATGACATGAAGTTGCATTTGACAAGGTTCTCAAGATGACTTTTGGGGTTTCCTTTAAGCCGCCCTTTGGAGAATAGTCCTGAGTCGCTTCAATCCGAGGTCCAGGGCCAAAACGGGCCGCAAGGTCAACTGAGTCCACTGGAGTCTGTGTGGACTAAGAGCAAGGAGCATTCCAAACCTCCCAAAACCTCCCAATTCCTTTCCCCAGGTTTAGCCTTCTGACCTGGAAGCCAAAATCTGAACTTTAGGGCTTTAGGGCTCCCAGCCCAAAGCGTCGCAAGGTAAACCCAAAGGGTCGCCTCCTCATCCAGGTCGATGATCCGGACCGGGTCCGCCATGCGCAAGTCCCAGGTAGTCAACGTCTTCTCCTGCCTCAGATTGCGCAAAGGCGCAACTAAGACGGAGCCTGCTGTTGGTCCATGTTGTCATTGTCCCTACCCAATCTTTGGTGGTATTCTTGCTGGCTAGAAACTAGTAGAAACTCAACAGAGCAGTTGTGAGAGCCATGTATGCCCTGGAATCTGTTCGACTGGTTTCTGGTGCATGTCGGACCGGATTGGTCCAGAAGCTGAAATTAGCCATGGTGAAGTATGTAACGAGGCCGGCAAACGAGAGCAAAGGGCAACCAAAGCAGCAGCAACGCACTACCGCAAAGCGCCAGCCAATCCAGAGGACGCACCCCTGCTATGCTCCTGTCAAGAGCCCATCAAAAGAATGGCCGTCATTCAAAGCAACAGCGCAGCATCCCCCTCCCGTAGCACAACAATCCTACATCTTGGTGTTGGCTCCTTGCCCAGGCATCAAACTCTGGGAAACCACCACTATTGATCGCGCAGCCTAAGACCGGCTGCCAACAGTCGACTCGTTGCTGGTTGAAAGGGGCAATAAAGAAAACACACACACACAAAGGCCTACAAAGACAAGCAGGCAAACCAAGTCTCGCAAAGTCTTAAATGTCCCAATTAAATTCGGAGTGTGTTAGGTGTTCTGTTTTTCCGAAACGGTCCAAATGAGGAGGTTTTAGTTCATCGGCCTTCCTGGCCCCCGGGCCCCGCAGTGATCACGGTGGTCTGGTTGGAAGCAACGGCCAGGCAATTGATGCCCCCGTGCCTTCCGACAACGGCCGAATCGGCCTATTGCAGCCCGCACCCAAGTGCTTCCAGATCCCAACTTCCCATGCAAACCTTGCCAGAGCCAGTAAAATGGAACAACTGATGATGATGTACTCTAGTAATTCGCAGCCTCTGAGAGGCCAAATCACACCAACAAAGGGCTACCCGAACTATAGTTGAAACTCCCTCAAAATGGGTGGGTCACTTTTGCTTCCACCTGAGACAGTTTCCACAAAGGGTACCGCCGACGACCAGTCCCAATCCGTCGAATCCACCCGACTCCCCCCCCGAGCGGCGCCTCTCGCGGTGGGCGGTTAAACGCTTCTCCGCTCGAAGGTCCTGTCGAAACCGGCGGGCGCTTTTTGCAAACCTTCGCATCAACCAGAAAAGGTTCAGCCTTGAACCCCTAAAACAAAGGTTTCCTTTAGTTTCTCGAAGCGAGAAAAAGACCGAAATATGGGTCTAACAAACTGCAAACGCAATTCCCCGTTGACCTTGACGCAACTTGATTTTAAAGTGCCCCACGCCCCCCCCCCCCAAAAAAAAAAAAAAGGATTGGATCATTTGGGCCCTTGTAGCACACTCAAAAGATGGCACGCGCATATTGTCCCGCAACAGCACCCCACACCAGGAATGCCCGCAGTCCCAGGTCAGCAGACAGCGATCCCGGCTGACGGAAATGGCGTACTGGTCGTTGGGGAAGAGCCTGCAAGCAAGCTTTGGCAAGGATTGTTTTGAATTGGTTAGCACTGGCCTGACCCAGTAGTTTCATGAACCCTCTTGTAAGACCATTTTGGCTTCTTTTCAGGTGTCACCCGCGACATTGCCAAAATCCCCAAACAATTGGCAACTCCACTCACCCTGCAACAGAATTGCCCTCTTGGCTGTCTGAGTCTAGTCTGGCGCAAACTCGCGTCATCTCAGCAACACCCTACCTCAGACGTCAGAGCCCAGCCTCACGTCGTTCACACGAGCATTGTGCTCCTTAAGCGTGGACACCATCTCCCGCCTGGGCAGCTCAGCCCAGGACCATAGATGAGCAGCGACCAAGGACGTGACTTGGCACAGTGACGGAACCGCGCGGAAGGCGCCGATAAAAACTCAATAGAAACAAAGAAGAGCGTGCGGAAAGCTCTGCGGGGTCTACCCACTCTCGCCTGTCGCAACTGAATTATAACATCACGCCTACCAGCAATACCTTCTGGCTGCGGAACTCAACAGACAAACCTGCACGCGCCCGCGTGGAGTTGCGGCAGCATCCACCTGCCGCCTCAAACTTGCGTCTTCCGAAAGGAGCAACTGCGCGTTCAGGCTTCAGCGGAAGATGCAACGAGAAAGCCAGAAGTTGTAAGATCTAGCTCGGACGATCTGTGCTTGTCGGACGAACTTGCCGTTTTATGGTCAGTGTGCCGTTTCAATCAAGCACTATACCACCACCAACGCATTCTGGCTCGGGTTGGTTGTCTGCAACAGGGTTTGACGCTTGCCGCCTTCTAACATCACTGCCACCACTGAACATGCACCCAGAAGGCAGGGTTGCGAGAAACTTCTTTTAACCTCCAGCGCTCGTCAAAGATTGTGGCAACAATAGCCGGGTTTACAGCACGTTCAAATGCTGGCTCACCCCAGGACATCGAAGCCCCTCCCCCCCCAAATCTGCGGCCCTTTTGTCCGTCGCTCATGCCCACGCAGCCCGAGGCGAGAGCGGAGAGACGAGGCCCGGATGCTACAGGTCTCTTCAGTATCCATGGAATTGACAATGCCCATTTGCGGCTGTGGGCAAATTACCCGAAATCTGTGATACCAAAAGCCTTATATATTCAAACCCAAGAGCCATGCGATAGCTAAGAGAGGGATGGATCGTGGTTACCTCGACTGATGAATATCATTCTCCAGCACAAATATCCCTAGCATTTGTTAACAACCATGACCTCGCTAGGAACGATCGCGGGCCCGTCCGTCCCGAACTTTTGCGGGGCCGTCTTACTGGCCATCGTTTGGGCGTGTCTTTTTCTGAGAGTACCCTTTTTCGAGGGTTTTGAAGGAAACCAAAAAGGAAACCGCCATTTTGGCGGCCCGCAAAAAACAGACACGCTCATTTGGTCATTTGGCGTCACCACAACAGTCTCTGCCAGGGTCTCGGTTCACTTCACTCGTCCTCCTCTTCTGCGACGCCCTGGCCTTGGCTGGGTTCGGAGATCAAACGGCGCACGCAGACAAAGAGAAGCTGCCACTAAACACTGAGCTCGGCTTTCAACAACGGAAGTGGCCAAACACCGAGCGATCAGCAATCATCAGCAGCATGTTGAAAACGTTTACCTCACGCTTCGTCGCTGCTTTCGTACCCGCGTTCGGGAATGCTGGGGCTCGGAACCCTCAACTTGTCGAGGGATTTAGGAGATGTGCTTGTCGCTTATGGATGGTGTTTCAACCCAAAGGAAACCTGCCTTTTTGTCGGCGAGTAATGGAGAATAACAACCCTGAAATTAGGGGCCCCAAGAAGTCACCATGAGTATTGTCACGCTGCCGTCGCTTTGTTCCCAGACATTTTTTGGGAGACACGGCCCAGCTAGTATTGCAGTTGCCGACTCCACACTTACCCTCCCATGTCCCCAAACCAATCTTAGAGGAAGAGAAACCTTGGTGTGGAGGCCAAAAAAACCGGCCCCGTGCAAATCTTCAGGAGACTACGAAAACCAAGCCAAAACCGAACACAAAACAACAGCGTTTGGCGCTATGAAATCCATCCCCCAATCCAAAACCCACAAACAAAAGACCTTTGGCACGAGAACCCATCCCCTTTTACCTAGCCCCGCCATCCACCTTGGCGTTAGTGAACTCGATTCTCAGGCCGAGGCCTCGCGCGAAGACATAGACCTGCCCGGTGTCCCGGGCGGCGCGACGGGGGGTGGGGGGGCTCAAGTTAAGCGCCTGGCTCCTGAATGTGATGTGAAGCCCAGTCACTCTATGCCTCTTTGCCTCGTATGCCAGGGCTGGCTTCGGTCAGGCATAGGTGCGTTTGAAGATTGGTTTGGTCGGGGATGCTTTACAAACTTAGGTTGGCTCAGGCGTCTGTGGTAGAGCGGTGTTCTTCAGCAAGGGCTGCCGGCCGGTCTGTGTAGACGAAACAAGGCTGTGCTGGAAAATGGTGTGCAGAACACTGGCTCGCTCAGCCGGGCTTGACAAAGCAAACCCGACATTTGAAATTTGCAAACGCCAAGCGGTGGCAAGCAAACCTGCCACGATAAAAACAGGCCTTGGCCCCTTTCGCCAGCTCTTCGCTGTCCTGCGCTGGGAAGGGTGGTTGAAAGGTTGCTGGCCAACACATGTGCGGAACTGTCCCCATCCAGGGCAACAAACGGCCAGTGAACAGCATCAAGGTCCCAGGCTGCGAGCACTAGAGGACTCAGGGTTTCCCCCCTGCCTTTTCATCCCAAAAGCACTCTCGCCCGTCGAAGACCAAAAAGCCCGCCCTAGCAGCTCAAGCCGCAGAACAAGTGTGTGGTGACACATCTCGCTAAAATTATAAATGCTAGTTTGCAAACGCGCTAGCGCTCGCCCCTACAGTTTTTCGTTACGGAGCTCCTGCCTATCAGGCTTTGTTTATGCACAACCTGGACCATACACATATCAATTAAAGGGGAGCATGCGTGACCCCTTTCTTGTTGGTTCTTGGAAGGGAAGCACATGTACGCCTCATCATTGCCCTGGGTTCAGAAACCATCATATGTGTGTGTGCCAATACCAAAAGAAGCTTTTTGTCTTTCAAGTTTGCCGCGCGCAGGGTACCCGCAAAAAAATACAAAAACTAGACGCCGGTTGGCTCAGAAGCATAGAAGCAGGTTCTTGGCGTGCATTGATCGATTACTGCGAATCTAACTAGAGATTGCGTGATTGATGGTTTACGTAGACCTTAGCTACTTCAAAGATGCCATGTTCGAGAAGAAGCCGGCAAAGGGTACTTCGCCTACTTTTTCGCTGAAACGTTGTGATTTGCGAGTATGGGACTGCGCGGGGTGCTTGGCTTGCTACGCTTGCTACTTTCGAACTTTGAAAGTTGTGATTTTCGATCCTGATGGCTCGCCTAGAGGCCTAGACACGGACGCATTCGCACGGCGCCACAGCGAGAGCGCTTCGTGCGTTTCGATGGCCATTTTCGGGCAACAGAAGAAGTATTACGGTTCGAGAAAACCAGGTGGAAAAGGTAAGTTAGCTTGTTTTCAGGTTAGTGCAGATCACCTCAACGGCTACCTGGCAATTTGATGCTGGTGCAACTAGGGTACCTTGAGGACAGTGAAGTAGCGCTCAATCAGTAGGCAGGTTAAGTAACTTTTGAAAAGTTGCCAGAGAAGTTCGCAGGTGGAGTAACACTCGAAAGGTTGGCAGGAAAAGTTGGCAGGCGAAGTAATGCTAAAAGAACATGGCGAAAGAGGTTGGCAGGCGGAGTAAACTCGAAAAGTTGGCAGGTGAAGGAACACTCGAAAAGTTGGCGGGAGAAGTTGGCACGCGAAGTAACACTCTTAAAGTTCGCGGGAGAAGTTGGCAGGTGAAGTGGCGCTCGAAAGGTTGGGCGGGAGAAGTTGGCAGGCGAGCGTTACTTCAACAGTTGGCGGGGGAGGTTGGCTGGCGAAGTAACACTCGAAAAGTTGGCAGGAGAAGTTGACAGGCGAAGTAACACTCGAAAAGTTGGCAGGAAAAGTTGCAGGTGAAGGAACACTCGAAAAGTGCCTGGGAGAAGTTGGCAGGCGAAGTAATTAACGCTCACAAAAAAAAACGGAGAGGTTGGCAGGCGAAGTGACACTCGAAAAGTTGGCAGGAGAAGCTGACAGGCGAAGTAACCCTTGAAAACGTGGCGAGAGAGGTTGGCAGGCGAAGTAACACTCGAAAAGTCGGCTGGATTTGTTGGCAGGCGAAGTAACACTCAGAAAGTTGGCAGGAAAAGGTGCAGGTGAAGCAACGCTCGAAAAGTTGCCGGGAGAAGTTGGCAGATGAAGTAACGCTCGAAAAGTTGGCAGGTAAGGTTGGCAGGTGAAGTGACGCCCGAACAGTTGCCGGGAAAGAATGGGCAGGGGAAGTAACACGCGAAAAGTTGGCAGGAAAAGGTGCAGGTGAAGCAACGCTCGAAAAGTTGCCGGGAGAAGTTGGCAGATGAAGTAACGCTCGAAAAGTTGGCAGGTAAGGTTGGCAGGTGAAGTGACGCCCGAACAGTTGCCGGGAAAGAATGGGCAGGTGAAGTAACACTCGAAAAGTTGGCAGGAAAAGGTGCAGGTGAAGCAACGCTCGAAAAGTTGGCAGGTAAGGTTGGCAGGTGAAGTAACGCTCGAACAGTTGCCGGGAAAGAATTGGCAGGCGAAGTAACACTCGAAAAGTTGCCGGAAGAAGTTGGCAGGCGAAGTAATTAACCCTCACAAAAAAAAACGGAGAGGTTGGCAGGCGAAGTAACACTCGAAAAGTTGGCAGGAGAAGTTGACAGGCGAACTAACCCTCGAAACCTTGGCAGGAATTGTTGGCAGGCGAAGTAACACTCGAACATGTGGCGGGAGAAGTTGGCAGGGGAAGTAACACTCGAAAAGTTGGCAGGAGTTGTTGGCAGGAGAAGTAACACTCGAAAAGTTGGCAGGAAGAGTTGGCAGGTGACGTAACACTCGATCAGTTGGCGGGAGAGAATGGGCAGGCGAAGTAGCACTCGAAAAGTTGGCAGGAGTTGTTGGCAGGCGAAGTAACACTCGAAAACTTGACAGGAGAAGTTGACAGGCGAAGTAACCCTCGAACATGTGGCGGGAGAAGTTGGCATGCGAAGCAACACTCGGAAAGTTGGCAGGAGTTGTTTGCAGGCGAAGTAACGCTCGCAAAGTTGCCAGGAAGAAGTTGCAGGCGAAGTAACACGCGGAAAGTTGGCAGGAGAAGTTGGCAGGCGAAGTAACAATCAAAAAGTTGCCGGCAGAAGTTGGCAGGTGAAGTATCACGCGAATAGTTGGCTGGATTTGTTGGCAGGCGAAGTAACACTCGAAAAGTTGACAGGAGAAGTTGACAGGCGAAGTAACCCTCGAACATGTGGCGGGAGAAGTTGGCATGCGAAGTAACACTCGGAAAGTTGGCAGGAGTTGTTTGCAGGCGAAGTAACGCTCGCAAAGTTGCCAGGAAGAAGTTGGCAGGCGAAGTAACACGCGGAAAGTTGGCAGGAGAAGTTGGCAGGCGAAGTAACAATCAAAAAGTTGCCGGCAGAAGTTGGCAGGTGAAGTATCACGCGAATAGTTGGCTGGATTTGTTGGCAGGCGAAGTAACACTCGAAAAGTTGACAGGAGAAGTTGACAGGCGAAGTAACCCTCGAACATGTGGCGGGAGAAGTTGGCATGCGAAGTAACACTCGGAAAGTTGGCAGGAGTTGTTTGCAGGCGAAGTAACGCTCGCAAAGTTGCCAGGAAGAAGTTGGCAGGCGAAGTAACACGCGGAAAGTTGGCAGGAGAAGTTGGCAGGCGAAGTAACAATCAAAAAGTTGCCGGCAGAAGTTGGCAGGTGAAGTATCACGCGAATATTTGGCTGGATTTGTTGGCAGGCGAAGTAACACTCGAAAAGTTGGCAGGAAAAGTGCAGGTGAAGTAACCGCAAAAAGTTGGCAGGAGTTGTTGGCAGGCGAAGTATTTCTCGACATGTTGGCAGGAGAAGTTGGTAGGCGAAGTAACACTCGCAAAGTTGCCGGGAGAAGTTGCCAGGCGAAGTAACACGTGAAAAGTTGGCAGGAGAAGTTGACAGGCGAAGTAACACTCGAGAAGTTGGCAGGTGAAGTATCACGCGAAAAGTTGCCGGGAAAAGTTGGCAGGCGAAGTAACACTCAAAAAGTTGCCGGGAGAAGTTGGCAGGTGAAGTAACACGCGAAAAGTTGGCATGATAACTTTGCAGGCGAAGTAACACTCGAAAAGTTGAAGGGAGAAGTTGGCAGGTGAAGTAACACGCGAAAAGTTGGCAGGGAAAGTTGGCATCGAAAAGTTGCCGGGACAAGTTGGCAGGCGAAGTAACCCTCGACCCTTGGCAGGAATTGTTGGCAGGCGAAGTAACACTCGAACATGTGGCGGGAGAAGTTGGCAGGCGAAGTAACACTCGAAAAGTTGGCAGGAGTTGTTGGCAGGCCAAGTAACACTCGAAAAGTTGGCAGGAGAAGTTGGCAGGCGAAGTAACACTCGAAAAGTTGAAGGGAGAAGTTGGCAGGTGAAGTAACACGCGAAAAGTTGGCAGGAGTTGTTGGCAGGAGTTGTTGGCAGGAGTTGTTGCCAGGCGAAGTAACATTCGAAAAGTTGCCGGGAGAAGTTGGCAGGGGAAGTAACACGCGAAAAGTTGGCAGGAGAAGATGGCAGGCAAAGTAACATTAAAAAAGTTGCCGGGAGAAGTTGGCAGGTAAAGTATCACGCGAAAAGTTGCCGGGACAAGTTGGCAGGCGAAGTAACACGCGAAAGGTTGGCGGGAGAAGTTGACAGGCGAAGTAACACTCGACAAGTTGCCGAGAGAAGTTGGCAGGTGAAGTAACACGCGAAAAATTGGCAGGAGAAGTTGGCAGGCGAGGTAACACTCGAAAAGTTAAAGGGAGAAGTTGGCAGGTGAAGTAACACGCGAAAAGTTGGCAGGAGTTGTTGGCAGGAGTTGTTGGCAGGAGTTGTTGGCAGGAGTTGTTGCCAGGCGAAGTAACACTCGAAAAGTTGCCGGGAGAAGTTGGCAGGGGAAGTAACACGCGAAAAGTTGGCAGGAGAAGATGGCAGGCAAAGTAACAATCGAAAAGTTGCCGGGAGAAGTTGGCAGGTGAAGTAACACGCGAAAGGTTGGCAGGAGAAGCTAGCAGGCGAAGTAACACTCGACAAGTTGCCGGATGAAGTTGGCAGGTGAAGTAACACGCGGAAAGTTGGCAGGAGAAGTTGGCAGGCGAAGTAACACTCGAAAAGTTGCCGAAAAAAGTTGGCAGGAGAAGTAACACGCGAAAAGTTGGCATGATAACTTTGCAGGCGAAGTAACACTCGAAAAGTTGCCGGGAGAAGTTGGCAGGTGAAGTAACACGCGAAAAGTTGGGAGGAGTCGTTTGCAGGCGAAGCAACACGCGAAAAGTTGGCAGGAGAAGTTGGTAGGCGAAGTAACACTCGCAACGTTGGCAGGAGAATTAACACTCGAAAAGTTGGCAGGAGTTGTTGGCAAGCGAAGTAACACTCGAAAACTTGACAGGAGAAGTTGACAGGCGAAGTAACCCTCGAACATGTGGCGGGAGAAGTTAGCATGCGAAGTAACACTCGAAAATTTGGCAGGAGTTGTTTGCAGGCGAAGTAACGCTCGCAAAGTTGCCAGGAAGAAGTTGGCAGGCGAAGTAACACGCGGAAAGTTGGCAGGATAAGTTGGTAGGCGAAGTACCACTCGAAAGGTTGGCAGGAGAAGTAACACTCAAAAGCTTGGCATGAGTTGTTGGCAGGCGAAGTAACGCTCGAAAAGTTGGCAGGAGTTGTTGGCAGGCAAAGTAACACTCGAAAGGTTGCCGGGAGTTGTTGGCAGGCGAAGTAACACTCGAAAGGTTGCCGGGAGAAGTTGGCAGGAAAAGTTTACATAGAAGAAGCGCATGCTCCCGGGAGGAGTGCCATATGGGCATGGGTCCAAATTAGCCCACCACGCAACCGCAGGTTTTAGTCCTTGGTTCCATTTACAAGGGTACCTAGTTTTGACCCACAGCCATATTATGTTGATTGTCCAATCCGTTTGAAGGAAACGCGGCGTCCTTCTTGGAGAACTTCTCGTGGAAGCCCCGGGTCCGGCGGTGCTCGTAGCCTGTGGGGGGGGGGGGGCGGAGGTTGAAGCCATGTGGCCACAGTTCACTGCCCTGGAAATTAACGTGGCTTGCCCCCCACCCCACCCCCTCCAAAAAAAATGGTTACCCAAAACGAGATTCATCTGAAAATCGAAAAGGTGGTTTGAGGGATCCATTTTGATCTGAAAGGGAGTTTGCTGCTTGGTCCTCAGGGAACAAGGTAATGACCCCGAAAAAGCTTTGGAGATTGATGCAAAGGGATCCCAGCAAAAGCAGACGAAGAAAACATGATTCTCATGTGTGTGTGTGTGTGTGTGTGTGTGTGTGTGTGTGTATGCGTATGTAATATAAGCAAATACAAACTTGGATGAAACAAATCTACAAGTGGTAAAGTAATGCTGTTCACCCCAAATTATAGATTGGCCTTAGCCTCATGTTGTCCACTCACTTTTCAGTCGGGACCCTAGAACCTGGGTTGAGCCAGCGTTATTCACCACTCAGTTCAGTCCCAGCCCTTTCATGCTGTCAAATGACACCCACACACAAAACAAACACCGCGACACATGTGTACAAGGTTAACTATGCCACACCCTGCTCCTGACAAGCTGGGTTGGTCTTTGACTCCATGCAAAAAAGTTTAACTTTGGCAAGCAGGCCCTGATTATCTCAACGCAAATGTCCTGGCGTCCCGCTGCACCAGCTGTCAACGTTGAGGCCATTTGCACCCTTACATGGAAAAATATGGGCATGGGTCGAAATTAAACCACCACAAAAACCGCAGGTTTAGTCCGTGTTTCCATTTACCAGGGCAACATTTTTTCGGGGTTGCCAACTATTTGTGACAACCACAGCATCAAACAATATCCCCAAGTACCTGTTTGTGACCCGCACATCCCCAAGCACTTTTCGGGAGATGGCCGTCCGCCTGGCCAGGCGTCCAAGGAAAAGGGCACCACCGTCTGCAGCTGGAGCTTCCCCTCGCTGGCCGCCTGACTGGAGTTCAGCTTGGCAGGCGAACGGCAAAAACCTGGTGGCGGTTTCTCTTTGAGGCACCAGGAAAACCGTTACCGGTTTCTTTTTCTTCTGTATTCTTTTGGTCAGGGGGCATCCTTTACGGGGAAATAGATGGGTTTCCCTGGTAGATGATGAAACTACCAGGTAAACCAGGAATGGCCATCTATTTTTCGACCAAAACAACCAAGAAGAACAACTAAGGGAGGAACCGGCCTTTTCCTGGAATGCAGTTGTCCTGCCTGCAATGCAGTTGTCCTCCCTGACAACTTGGCAACGAGTACGGGGAGCCTTCTTTTTAACCTTCCACAGCATGTTTGAACCTTCCCTTTTTTCCATCTTCAACCCTTACCATGGAACCTCACAGGGGGGTCCTGGTTTGGACCATCTTCCTTTTAAAGGGACCCCTGATCGCGGTTTTGTTAGACATATCTGGATGGACTAAAGCTTGCGGTTTTCTGGTGGTTGAGTTTTGACCCATACCGATACCCATCTAGGTCCAGAGAACAGAATGGCATAGGACGGCAACTTTCAACACCCGCAGGCGAACTTGCTGCAGCTCTGTGAATCCCAGTGTTGAGATACTAGATTCACCAGTACATGTTTTCTCAGCCGAGGGCCCTACTGCTGGGCATGAAAATCGAGAACAGCTCAACAATCGCCATGCAATTCCGATGCTTCATCGCTGTCATGCTCACCCACACTCTATACGGACATTTGGTGGGTAACGCTGATCTTCTTGGCCAGTGTGCGCTTTGTGATCCCTTTACCAACAATTGATGACAGGGAACACAACAAGTTGGCTCATATTACTGAGAGGGTCGGGTGGATGGAATTCGACACAGCATCCGAAGAGTCAGCCAGACGAAAGGTAACGATCAAGTGCGCAACGATCAAGGGTGCAAGGTGTGGCCGTGAAAGCACGAGGCAAGCAGCACACCACCGGTACGAAGCGAGCGAAGCGAGCGCTTGCGCCTTCGCCACCTGAACGATCTTCCAGGACTTGTATGGCTCGCCATGCCTGCACATGCAAGGCAAACAGAATGAGGCAGGCCAATAACAGCAAGCAGCTGCCAAACATGCTGATGCTAAGTCCACAATCCTTACAAGGATTTACAGGAGGGTAAACTGGGAGATAACTCCTGAGCCATCTATGTAGCTGGACTCACCAAGCAGGAAGCAGGGTGTGTAACTCGGAGTTGTATCTCTCTTCACAAGGTTGTCATTTGACAGCTGTGTATACATCTCCAAGAGCGGCCACAGCATGTAAGCAGCCCACAAAATAGTTCGCGTGGGATACTGGAGACATGTCTTACTTCAGTGCAGTTGCGTCCGTGAACACCTGATCCCGGGAATGAGGACCTTCCCGGAGACTCGACAAATGAATTACTCTTGCCACTGTGTTCAGCCTTTCTAGATCTCACATCTTCGCAGCTGGCCCAAATTGAGCGATCAATCTAAATCAGAAGAAAATGAGGGACCTCACGTTGGGTCACTTCGCAACCCCCCTAGTACCATCGCTATAGTTTGCCCAGGATCAAGATCTCCAACTGTCTGAGAAGCGACTAAAATCAATACGGGGACCACCTCCAGCCCAGACTGTCCTCATCCACTGGTCCGCCACTGGCCCAAGAAATGATGTTTAAACCACCCAAAGAGGGACACCATACAAAGGGCTACATGATGACACGAACATCGCATAATTATACTTAGGCGATTCCCTTGGCATCCCAAAGCCATGTTCTCCGCCGCCATGCACCCCACCCCCCCACCCAACGCCCCAAACCCCGGGTTTCGGCGCTTCATCGCCACGTGCACGGCGCTGGCAGGGTCCTCCGACAAACACAGCAGCGCTGAGGCAAAGAAGGCAGCCAGCAGGTCGCCTCGAAGCCACGAAGACGAACCAAAGTGCCACTTGTTTCGCTCATGGATACATGGAGGTCTGGGAAGAAGGGATAAATGGGAGTGGAGACATGGGGAACCTTCACAAATGGGATTCACTTTGGTATCCCTTTCAAAGGGAGTCTACAATATGAGATGCTTGCATGGTTGTTGACCAGCGGGTACCCACCATGACTGGCGCGTGGCCCCCTCCAGGCAAATAACTGGAATGTGCACACATAAGAAAAAAAGAAAGAAAGGAAGCTTGATCACGGGTGAGGTTGCACACGCCCCCCTTTGTGAGGTCGCTACAACTTCCACATTGAATGAACCAGTTTTGAAGCGGCAAAGTGGGCACACAATTAAATGCTTGGGGATTACCTCCTCCCGCCGCCAGTGATGTCAACAAGACAACGTTGTGTAAGTGGTGTTTGCGAAAGATGGTGTAAACAAACACATAACACGGAAGGAGTCGAGGAGGAATGTTTGTTTCCGACCCTGAGAATACAGTATGTTGCTTGACCACTTTCTGGTTGGATTGAAGCTATCTCCCTCCATTGTCGTCTTGAACCATGCGCGCTCTCTCTCTCTCATCCAATGCATTCAATATTGGCTGGCCATTCTGCGGTAGTCTCCTTATCTCTGACAATTTTTGCCAGTGTGCATGGTGTTTGGTGAGCACTTTGCTTGCGAATGGGCCTGGAGAGTAGATCTCCCTGCCGTCCCTTCAGGCCCCAGTCCCAAAAAGACAGCTGCGTCTTAGGCCCTGGCTGTGCTGCTGGATGCTCTTCTCCACATCCTTCTCCCCGGCCCCCAGGTGCGGAAAGTTCCACACGATGCACTTGAAGGCACCCCGGAACTGCTTCCTCGATCATCCGCAGATCCGATCGATTGGGGGGAGGGGGGGTCCTGGATTCCTCTTCAAGCACCTTCTGTGGCTTCCATATATGAGTTGGTGAGAGGGCGGAAACAAAACCAGTGCCATCTGTTTTCCGCCGAACTGAACCGGAAAGGACGTCTATGATCCCAAGCAACAGTAAACAAAACACGCGCGAATCAACTAAGCGCACGCTCATTTGGCTGGTTGGGAACAAACATCTAAACAAAACAAGCGCGAATCAACAAAGTGCGCAAACGAGCCTGCGCGATTCATTTGACTGGTTGGGACAAACATCTTGTCCGCCTCATTGCAAACTACTCCAGTCATACCCATTCATGAGCAAGGAGTCTGTTCATCAACTGGATTCCCATTAGTAACCAGTTTCTTGGCTCAGGGAACCCCGACGAGAGCTGAACATACGGAACCACTGAAGGTCTGGGTAAGGTGTTTCTAGTCAACCAGGAAGGTGTTCGTCAACCGGGTGTTTTTTTTTGGGGGGACCCCCCTGTGTTTGCTTTTGACACTGTTGACCCTTCATGCGATCTACCATTTTGGCTCAAGGCCCTTCTTTGCTATTTTCACAATCAGAGCGTGCTTACAGCGAAAAGACCTTGCGGCAGTGCATTACAGGACCAGAGAGATCAATACAATAACGAGGGACATCCAGTCTCACCAATCCATCTGGGATAGGTGAGACTAACCTGAAATAGATCCACGGGCCAGCTGAGTTGCCTACCACAGCAGGATTAAGATCCCCTGCTATCGGACTCCCCCCCCAAATTGCTGGCTTGTTTTCCTTTTAGTGTTCCTTTAAAACCACCAAACAAGCGGCATCGGGCAGCCGCAAAAGAAACACCCAACTGGTTCCCCATTTGGACCCTTTTGGACTTGCGGCACAGGTCACCATGGCCCGGTGCAAATATCACGAGCGACATACATACAAGCTGCTGTCCTGCTGCAAGTTGGGTCCTGCGAATTTGTTTCCTCAGGTCACCATCACCCCGTTTTACGCCCCACGCGGCATGTGGTTTGGACCCCAACGAGCCAAGGCGCACTTTGTGGAGGCGTGTGGCGTCCACTGAGCTGAGCGTCGTGCCCCCTCGCTCCTCCACCGTCTTCCGCAGCTCCAAGGCGTCCGGGTACTTCCTAGGAAGCGAGGGACTCGATGCAAAAAGACGGGAGATGAAAAAGACGAGGAGTGGCTGTTTTGTGGGAAATCTGGGTTCAAGTTGGGGAAACATGGGGAATCCTGGGTTAAAGTTGGGTTAAAGTTGGGTTGAAGTTGGGTTAAGACATAGAAATATGGGGCATCATGGGGAATTAGGCTTTATGGTGTTGTGTTGCGCCCAGTGTTTAGCTAAAAGCCGGGTGCGGCTCATGCCAGGGTTGATTTCGCATTCTCACCGCTGCTTCTCTTTACAAACCGAGGTTAGTGGCCAGTTTTCTGAAGAAGCGGATCTCTGAACATGAGGGCTTAGAACTGAAGCTGTCATGCAGGTGATGCCGCCAGGGTTGGACAAAGATCGTAGCCCATCTTGTGCGTTTCTCCGGGACACTGGCCCGCCAGAATATATTCGCTGGGATGAAGTGGGTGTGGGTCAAAAATAGGTACCCGAAATGGAACCCTGGTAAATGGAAACAAAGACTAACACCTGGTGGTTAAATTTTGACCCATACCCAAGTGGGTTAGCCACGGGTTTGGAGTCCATCCCGCCTCTTCAATATGGCCTCGCCGTCCAGGCACGTGGCAAAGATGTCCTCGCCTGGCATGCGAAGGTCTCCGAAAGAGGCGGGTGAACACCGAGCTGAGGTTGCCTTTAGGGGTCTGGGTCTTGCTGAAACCAACGTCGCCACCATGTCCGGCATCCTTTTCCCCACTTCTGGGCAGGCTGTGGAAGCTGATTTTGCAAACAAAATGTTGGCACAAGTAGTTTGCTTGGCACAAGAACGAACGTCAATAACACGTTCCGCTCAATTTGGCCAAAGGCTTTAAGCTTGCTACCTGACCCAAAGCCTTGCTTCGCCCGCGTCTGGAAATCGTCGGGGCCGGCTGGTGGCTGTGAACGGCGCACACATGATGTTGGGCATGAATGGCCCTTCTCATCTCACCGGAAAGCCCTTCATTTCGGATCAAGGTTCTGTGTCTCCCCTCAGATGTATGTGTGAGTCTGAAAATGGAGTTGATCAAAAGGTTCTGCGTTGCAGCCAATCGATCAACTAAAGTACACAAACGGAATAGGCGATGTGTCATGGAGGTCTGCCGCGGTTTTCGAAAAGGACCAGAAGGTGCTGCACCCTCAATGCTATCTGGGGTGTGTTCAGGTCTGGGGTTGAAGCGGTGGTTTCTCCTACATAATTGCAGCACCCGAAGTCAACCCAACCGAACACACCGGTAGCTCACTATTGGCGCCCCTGAAAAGGTGTGGGTCAGAGCGGGCCTATAAACCTCAAACAACAAAAGTTGTCCAAGATAAAATAATCTTGCTGAACAGGTTGTTTGGACTGGCATAGTGTTGCTCGGGTGTGCTCCTTGGTGGCAGCACAAGTTTACAAGCACAGGAATCAGGAGGCCTCAAGTAAATAAGTGGAATACCCGGATCCCATCTTCCACAGATCCACACACCTTTTTAGCCTGCTCGAACCATCCGATAGAATCTGGGGTATGTTGCAAAAGTTGGAGTCGTTCGGAGCGCTCAACAAAACGGCTATTCCGCTGCAATCATCAGCAAGGGATCCCCAACCTCCTTTAGGGCTCGCCAGGGGCATCTTTCCCCGGAATCAACTGCCAGAAGCATGCGAACCGTCACCGAAACATCCACATGAAGAATTGAAACAGAGAGAGAGAGAGAGAGAGAGAGAGGGAGAGGGAGCGGGAGAGGGAGAGGGAGAGGGAGAGGGAGAGGGAGAGGGAGAGGGAGAGAGAGAGTTTAGGTGTGATTGCCTGTCACGGGCCCAAGATATGCTTGCTCAACCCGAAGTTGCTCTGCCCCTGTCCCCCCCCCCCGCCTGACCCCCGGACTTCACAAAGAGCGCGGGCGAAGCTGAAATTCCCTGCGCAAGGGGGAGTGACGGTATGCGGAAAATGACGACTCTGGGAGTGTAGGTGGCCCCTTCGTTTAAACCTGTTTCGGCCACAACTGGGCTTTCCAGATAGATGGACCAAGGGCTGGATGTTAAACTTTGCAGCACCACGGCTTCACGGAAAAAGGGTGGTGTCCGATAAGTAGTCACCATGGGTAACATTGAGAGCTGCGTGTCGGAAAGCCTTGGAGCCATAGGCGCACATGACACTGGAGTGGAATCGATTCAGCCCAACTAAGCTTGAAGGACAGTTCGGGTCCCAACAAGACCTCGGCCGCGAAGTAAAAGCATGATGTTTGCACAAAGCTTGAAACATTCTAAAACCAATTGGGATCAAGCCTCACATCTAGGTCCCGGTCGAAACTTTTGATGGAATTTGTTTGCAAGGGAATCCCTTTTAGAGTGACAAAGTAGGCATGGCACACTTTGTTAGCACAGGAATGGAGACTTTCCACAATCATGGATTCTGAGTTGCTCTGTTGCGCCGAAGAATTGAACACCAGCGAGGAGCTTGTGGTGGGGCCGATGGGAGTGTGAGTGGGGGGGGGGACAGGGCCAGAGTGGGTCATGGTGAGGCAAGCCTTGGCAGCATTTCCACACGTACAGGGTAGTATGGTGGAGTCACTGTTCTTTCGTCACCGAGTGGAAATCCTTTCTGTTTGTTGCTTCCTTCAAGAGGTGTTTCATTAGTTGGGGGGTTGCAACACGTGTCCTACCCCGCTGTGCAAGGCTTGAAATATCAGGTCCAGCCAGTGTGTGATTAAACACAGCTTTGCCTGGAAACAATTTGACAAGGGCCACAAACCGCCTGTCCTTCGCCCACCAGCAGCACAGCCCCACTCTGTTCGTAGAGGCGCCGGTGCTGCTTCAGCTGCTGGCGCGCCAGTCGCACCTCCTGTTTGGCTTGGCATGGACCCACCCTTCTGCCTCAACGATATGTTCGCCTCTGGCCCATTTTGGTGGAGCATGCGAAATGCCTTCAAAAAAGATCCCAGTCACCCAGAGTGGTTGTGTGGTGGTTGAAGTTACGGCTTGACACTTAACTCAACCAGGAGTTCAAACCCAAGAAATATTGAACCAACGAAGCAGCGGGGAAAAGCCAAAGGCTCTCCCTACCGCCACCACGGGCCTATCTTGGGGGCTCTGATCAAAGGAGGGGGGGTAGGTTGGAGGTTCCAATCTCTCTGAACCTTTGGGCAAGGACCGAAACGTCTCTCTTTTGCAGTTGCTCAGTTTAAGCTTTCGCATTTTGTACTAGTCTCTATTGGTGCTGGTTTGCATGTCCTATGTTGTCTGATGTAGTACGTGGCTATTTGCCGCGTGGCGGGGGCGCTTATTCTGTTGGATTTGAGTCCCCTTTGCACCCTCCAAATGAGATTCGGGGCAGTCTGGGCTAAATGGGCCCCAAAATCCACGAGAAAAGCGGAACATGTGGCGAACTGACCAAACTTCCTAGCATTAGGTGTCCTTCTGGACAAATCGATTGCATCGTCACTAAGCCTGCCATTTACTTTGAACCAAACCTCCCTAAACAGACACCTCTACGAGAAGACTGTGGCTCCCTGTTTGAAACGCCGGTTGGACGCATCCAGTCTCAAGATGCTCACCCCTCATAGCAAACTTTGCTAGGAGGTGTCTAACTGCTTGACAGGAATAAGAGACCAACAAAGCTCTTTCAGCCCTGCAACGCCAAGGGTTGCAAAATGTTCGCCGCACTTTCCGCCGTTTCGACAGAACCACGCTCGTGCTGCCAAGCTTTTCAAGATGCTCATCAAACAACCTATCTCGAAACGCCCGAGGCCAAAGACAGTTGGTCCCACGCTCAGAAAGCAGTCTTTCTTCGACTAACATGTCTTGTTTGCAGAAGAACATCTAAGTTCACCAGGGTTGATGACCCTGAGTGGAGTGGAGCCAAGCTCGAGTGTTCCCACTGGCATTGCTTTAAGGGGCCTCGTATGTACCCTACGAAAAGAGTTGAGGGTGGAAAGGGCAGGACAAAATGCGCCTGGTGGCTATGGAAAGGCCACTTCCTGGTCGCCTTGGGGACTCACTGAGAACCTACATGGGTTGAAGGCCCAAGCAGGAACAGCTGCCACCAAGAAACTGAGGTGCTGATGAACAAGGACACAGAAAGGGCATGCCTCGGACATCAAAATGGCAACACATGTCCCAACCAGGCCTTCTTGCTCAACTTGGCCTCTGGTGCCTGGAGTGAGCACACCATTCCGGAGGTTGGAAAAAGGCTACCTCAGGTTCTGCAACACAACACATTGATTCTGGCAACCCAGTTCCGGCAGCCTATGCCAGATGCATGGCTGGCGATGATCCGCCAACAGAAAGGGAAAAAGGGGCGCCACCGAGCTGCAAGAAATCCGACGCGGATTTCCCGACGTGAAACCGTACCGTGACACCGGAAAACAAAAAAAAGGGCGGTCCAAGACTCTCTGAAGTTCATGCAGAAAGGCGCTGGGGTCCATGGAAAGCCTTCTCAGGGAATGCGGCTACCAACAATCCTTTGCTGCTTTCCTTTGAGGGAGTCCCCAGGTTCACTCCTAGAACCCTTTGTTTCCCAAGAGCTTGCAAGTGCCGTTTGATCGCAGTTCAAAGGACGTGGAAAGGTAACAAGAAACCACCTTGGCGAGGTCACATGGTTAAGCCACGGCCAAGTCTGGTTGCTAATCACTACCCCCCAAAAACAAAGGTCCCCCAAACAATAATAATAATAGTAATAATAATAAAAATAACCAAAATAACCATAATCATAGTCACACAAAAAAACTCTAGAAATACCAAATTAGAGTAGCCCAATTCTGCGATCCCACCGACCTCTCTTCCAGTCTGTTTAGGGGACGCCCTGCCCTCAAACACCAAACGCAAGACTGGACACCCCCAACCCGGAACGGTTTCTTTTGATTTGTAAGGTTGTTTGTTGATTCGAGGGACCTTCTGTTCTGGCAAAAAAGCAACAAGTGGGCAGGTCCTGAAAGAGGAAGCCCCCTCAAAACGGGCTGGTTTCCTTTGGTTCCTGCGCAACTGTGCAACCAGCTTTTGTCCTTTTCAGGCTGACAGATCGGTCCAGACTAGCCCCTGTCCCCAAGAGTTTGGCGCGAAGGGGTAACTTATGGGAGGGTTTTGAACAATGAGCAGCGGAAAGCCTACCATGAAGAAAACGGATTGAGCAACCGCCTTACAAAACTCCGACCAAATCACATGGGAGAACACCCTGCTATGGCCAATAGGGGTGTCAACCCTGGTCATTTCAAGGGGGTCAACTCGGGAAAAGAAAAGCCCACCAATGCTGAAGCTTGGGCATTGGTGGTCGCCTCTGAAAGGAGATCTGGTCTGGGTGCACAATCATTCATGGGATCCTTATGAAACCCGCATGGGTAAGGTCGAACATCTCCGGTCGGTGAGCTCGCAATATGTTGGCTAGACTGGTGCCGGTGCCTCGCTTGACACATCTCGGGTCTTTGGGAAGGAAAATGAGTCCTCGGGAACACAAGTGTCTGCTTTTTGAGGGGAAACTCAGAAGGGTCAGAAGGGTCAGAAGGGGTACAAGCCTCAGTCTCCATTGGGGTGTGAAGGAAACCAAGCATCTTGGCATTGCTTGCGCCGTATCCCCGCGCCGAGAGTCCCGCAGCGTTTTCACGCGCGAAAACGAACACGCCTCGCGCTTTGGCTCGGCGGCGCTGGCCTGACACGAGCCCAGGGGAAAGGTAGGGGAACCCGTTGGGCAAAAGAAACGACATAAGCAGAAACATTACTACTTTACTCCTACCAGGGAATGTTAATCCAAAGTTGCCCCATTTCAATTGTTACACTCCAGATTAAGATGGAACCCAATGAGCCAATCAGATTTAGGCACGGATTTGTCGGATATCGTTTTTGGTTACATAATGATCAGGGAAAACCAACGTGAAGTGAAACGGGGATGTGGAAAAGAATAGGCAAGCAATGCCATGGGTTCCACGAAAGATAGGCTATGAGACGGGTTGCACGAAGAATAAAATAATTTGGCGAACATCCTTCCAAGCAACAACAGCACCCTCTTTGCCAGCTGACACACACACACACACAAACACATACACGTACACACACACACACACCAGCCTGAGCCCAACTCTCTCTCTCTCTCTCTCCCTCTCCCTCTCCCTGTCTCTCTCTCTCTCTCTCTCTCTCTCTCTCTCTCTCTCTCTCTCTCTGTGGACTTCTTCCCACCAAAAAAGGGGAAACAAGCAACAAGAAAAGAAACAACCAATAGTGTCCGTACTTTTTCAGGACCCCACCCCCTCAATGGTTCCTTTGGTTTCCTCAAAAGAGGTGCAGCCAGCCAACTGCCCCCATCGGCCTTCGGCGCTGGAGCTGGGCTCACCCCCGACTTCTCCGCCCGCAGCGCCTGAGGCAAAGGGCGCTCCTTTTGATTGCGGTCGGAAAGGAAAACCAAAAGGAAAGCAGAAATCCATGTTGGGGGTTGCAACAATCCTAAGAAGATACACACACACATACACATGTGGGTGTTTCTCAAAGTTGGGGTTGCTTGTTGGATGGTTTTCAGGGAAAGCACATGAATGCAACCGCCTGAGCCGGGGTCGCTAACTTTGTTGAGCCTCGTGCAAATCCGTGGGGAGACATAAACTTGTTCGCTTGTTCGTCACTTGAAGTGACATCCTCAAAGCTACCCCTCATAAAACAGGTGGGGTTGTAAGAAAACCCCGTGACCTTTTGATTGACCCTCAACACCGTTATCGTTGTTTTCTTCATTCTCGTTTTACAGGTAATTGGAAGCATCGGTGTTGGATGATAATTCTGTAGTAGTAGTAGTAGTAGTAGTAGTAGTAGTAGTAGTAGTAGTAGTAGTAGTGGCAGCAGCAGCAGCAGCAGTAGTTGTAGTAGTAGTAGTAGTCGTAGTAGTAGTAGTAGTAGTAGTACTGGTGCTAGTACTTGTACTAGTACTAGTCCTAGTAGTAGTAGTGGTGGCGGCGGCGGTGGAAAGAAGTCGTAGTAGTAATACTAGTAGTAATAATAGTAATAAAAGTAATAGTACTACTGCTACTACTACTACTGCTACAACTATTATTACCACTGCCACCACCACCAACACTACTACCACTACTACTACTACTACTACTACCACTACTACTACTACTACGACTGCTGCTGCTGCTACTACTACTGCTGCTACTACTCCAATTATTAATACTACTCACACTAGTAGTAATAAGGTAACAGTAGTAGTAGTAGTAGTAGTAGAAGTAGTAGTAGTAGTAGTAGTAGTAGTAGTAGTAGCAATGATAGTAGCAGTAGTAGTAGTAGTCGTGGTGGTGGTGGTAGTAGTAGTAGTAGTAGTAATAGTACTAGTAGTAGCAGTAGTAGTAGTAGTAGCAGTAATCGTCATAGAAATCGTAATAATAGTTTGATAAATTGCTCAATGGTCCTGTGGTGGCGCTGCTTCAGACATGTTTCGAACTGTTTCGGACTGCTTATTGAACCCTGCGGTTTTGAAGCTTGACGCGGCGCCCCGTCTCTTGTCGTAATAGTCAAAGGAAGTTTAGAAGGAACTTCCATGTTACGGCAACTAATTGAAAGCTAGCTCTCTCTGAGACAGATGAAGAGAAGGAACAAGCACGCGAGAAAACGAAAACATGCGCGCGCGTGTGGTGGGAGTAAGGAATCTGCAAAAAGCATGGCCCCGTGCGTGAATTGGTGTCTCCGGAGAGCCGAAAGCTAGCCTGTTCGCGGCGCCTGGTCGGACCACTCTCGGACCACGCTCGGAGCACGCTCGGAGCGCGTTCGGAGCGCGGGCCCATTGGCACGGCAACGCGAAGGTTTCGCCAGGTTTGAATTGCGTGGCAGGCGCAGCACTTTCGCAAGGTCAGGTTCAGATTTCGTGGCAGGCGCAGCACTTTCGCAAGGTCAAGTTTTCCCAAGGATTGAATGGCGTGGCAGGCGCAGCACTTTCGAAAGGTCAAGTACGTATTTCGTGGCAGGCGCAGCACTTTCGCGAGGTCAAGTACAGATTTCGTGGCAGGCGCAGTGCTTTCGCAAGGTCAAGTGCAAAATTCGTGGCATGCGCATCACTTTCGCAAGGTCAAGTGCAGAATTCGTGGCAGGTGCAGCACTTTCGCAAGGTCAAGTGCAAAATTCGTGGCAGGCGCATCACTTTGGCAAGGTCAAGTACAGATTTCATGGCAGGCGCAGCACTTTCGCAAGAACAAGTGCAGATTTCGTGGCAGGCGCAGCACTTTTGCTAGGTCAACTTTCGCAGCCGGGGCTCGAACATCGCAACTTTTAAGTACGAAAGTAGTACGCGAAGTCAACTTTCGCAGCTGGGGCTTGAAAATCGCAACTTTTAAGTACGAAAGTAGTACGCAAAGTCCACTTTCGCAGGCGGGGCTCGAAAATCATAGTTTTTATACTTTTTAAACTTCCGCCCACCGGCTTCGCCGGCTCTACTGGTAGTAGTGGTATAAGTACTAGTACTAGTTGTATTAACAGTAGTGGTAGTAGTAGTTGTAGTTTATGAATAATAATCAAAGGAAGTTTAGAAGGACACTTCCGAGATACGGAAACTAATTGAAAGCTAGATGGTGCAGGGAAGGAACAAGAAAGAATGACAGGCGCGCGAGAGAAAACATGCGTGTGCGTGTGGCGGGGGAATAGAATTTGCGAAAAGGAGCAACCCTCTGCGGGTTTGGTGGTGTGGAGCTGGCTGAAAGCTACCTCAGTCGCGGTGTCTGACGGACGACAGGCGCAGGACGGGCTCGGGACGGGGGCGGCGCCGGGACCATTGGCACGGCAACGCCGAGGTTTCGCAAGGTTTGAATTGCGTGGCAGGCGCAGCATTTTGGTGAGGTAGGGTGCAGATTTCGTGGCAGGCGCAGCACTTTCGCAAGGTCAACTTTTCTCAATGATTGAACTGCGTGGCAGGCGCAACACTTTCGAAAGCTCAGGTGCAGATTTCGTGGCAGGCGCAGCACTTTCGCAAGGTCAAGTACATATTTCGTGGCAGGTGCGGAACTTTCGCAAGGTCAAGTAAAGATTCAGTGGCAGGCGCAGCACTTTCGCAAGGTCAAGTACAGATTTCGTGGCAGGCGCAGCATTTTGATGAGGTTGGGTGCATATTTCGTGGCAGGTGCAGCACTTTCGCAAGGTCAAGTCCAAAATTCGTGGCAGGCGCAGCACTTTCGGAAGGTCAAGTGCAGAATTCGTGGCAGGTGCAGCACTTTCGCAAGAACAAGTACAGATTTCGTGGCAGGCGCAGCACTTTGGCAAGGTCAACTTTCGCCGCCGGGGCTCGAAAATCGCAACTTTTAAGTGCGAAAGTAGTACGCGAAGTGCACTTTCGCAGCTGGGGCTTGAAAATCGCAACTTTTAAGTACGAAAGTAGTGCGCGAAGTCCACTTTCGCACCGGGCTTGAAAATCGCAACTTTTAAGTATGAAAGTAGTACGCGAAGTCCACTTTCGCAGCTGGGGCTCGAAAATCGCAACTTTTAAGTATGAAAGTAGTACGCGAAGTCAACTTTCGCAGCTGGGGCTTGAAAATCGCAACTGTTAAGTACGAAAGTAGTACGTGAAGTCCACTTTCGCAGCTGGGGCTCGAAAATCGCAACTTTTAAGTACGAAAGTAGTACGCGAAGTCAAGATAGAAAGAGATAGAGAAAGAAATAGATAGATAGATAGATAGAAAGAAAAAGAAAGAGAGTAAGATAGATAGGTAAATAGACAGAGAAAAAACAAGAAAAGAGATGGAGAGATAGATAGATAGATAGATAGAGAGAGAAAGAGAGAGATAGATAAAGAGAAAGAGAGATAGAGAGAGAGAGATAGACAGATATATAAATAGAAAGAAGAAGAGATAGATAGATAGATCGACAAATAGATAGATAGCTAGATGAATAGAGAAATAAATAAATATATAGATAAACGATAAACAGACAGATAGATAGATAGACAGATAGATAGATAGAGAGTTAGATAAATAGATAGAAACAGAGATAGAGAGAGATACATAGATAGGTAGATAGATAAAGAAAAAATAGATAGAGAGATGGATAGATACGTAGATCTATAGATAAGTAGAAATATAGATAAA